AAAACAGAGTTAAATAATGCAATAGTGACAGTTAAAGGATCAGCAGAGGGAGGGAACAGTTAAGAAGTAGATGAGGGAGAAAAGGAATTAAATGAACATATCACTAATATATAATTTTTAAAAAATAATCTTTCACGGGATTTATTTTATAGACAAAATAAACAGTTGACAAATTAACATACACTCAAATGATCATTTACGCAACTAAAGCTCAAGTGACTTCTAACCATCAGTTTAAAACCTTCCTTAATCAGCAAAAATACATGATGAAGCTGACCCTACTTTTTCTGAGAAGGCAGGATTTAATGTAATGGGCATTGCTTTGGTTTCATATTATTATAATCCTCTGCAGTTCCAGTAAGAATACATTTCCTCAAATGTGAAACATTCCTAATTAAAATAGCTAATTAAAAATTATTGGCTAAAAGAGAAATTCCATTCTTTATACTTTTAGAAAATATAATACAGGAAGAGTCCTATATGGATTTAATATTTGTCATAAACCAGTCACGGCTTTGTGTCACTTAACAGTGACATGCTTAAAAGTCTGTTCATTACAAACACCATTTCAGTGAGATATAAATCAGTTTAACCTAACATGAGAATGAAACTTGTCACTCAATTTATCAACCTGCTGGGGTAGTTTCTGAAAAGGGCTTGGACTGGTAAAGCTGATTTTAGGTCTAACATGAAAACCTTGCTTTCTGGATTCAGATGCTTGTTGTCCTAAACGCATAAACACACAGAGAGTTTAAAAATGAGCTATAAACACTGAGTTTGTACATGGGGTAATATTGCCTCTTTTATTTTGAAAATTATTTCTCAAACAGTCAAGTTATTTACACTTCAAAAAAGAGACACAGGATGTTCCTTGTATTATTCATCATATATTTTTGAGGCAACATAATTAAGTACAATGGAAAATATTTCTCCTATGAGATGTCCATTCTCCCATAGCTACTAATTCCCATTATTTGGGAAACTCACTGGTCTGGAGGAAGGAGTGCTAGGCTAGATGTTACGAAGTATGCATTTTTAATCTGTTACTGACTTGCTGTTGACCTTGGGCAAGTCACTTCAACCTCTCTGTATCTCAGTTTTCCCATATATAAAATTGGATTAACAGTATGTACCTTCTTTGTAGGGAGATAGTGAGGATTAGTTAGTGTTTGTACAGCACTTTGAATAGGCAAAGTGCTAAGTATTATTGCTGCCATGAGAGTTTCTCTAAAATCTCTGTGCATCAGTGGGAAAATAGATCCATATGACTTATGCAAGAAAATATTTCCTTAAAATCAGTGAGAGATTTTCTTGTGCAAGGAGTATGGAATTTGGCCCTTAAGTATGGACTGATATTAATTTAATGACATTTATATGCAATTTACTTTGTCACACTACATATTATAGTGAATCTGAAGTTGGACTAAATATATGAATGTAAGTATTCTACAATATGTAGTGTGTAAAATCTCAGCCAAAGTCAAACTGCCGAACTCTTGCTTTTAGTTTTATTGCTTTTCAGTTAATCTGGGCCAACATATTCTAAAGTGATTAGTGATATTAGGTGCCTTGATTTTTGGATGCCCAACAAGAGATGCCTTAATGGCATCTGATTTTCAGAAAGTGGTGAGAATCCAAAAATTGAGGCACCCAAAAATCCCTGGACACTTTTGAAAATCTAGGCTCTGGGACTTGTCCATAGTCATCACTTTGAATGTTCCATCTACAAGATAAGTTCACTCAATGTTCTGAGAGCTCTTTTTAATTTCCAGGCAGAACAGGACGAGTTCCTCTCCCTCTCTGGGAGGAAATATGATCTCATTGTTGAGGCATTGGACAGGGATTCAGTAAATTTAGTTTCAATTCTCCACTGTAACACAGACTTCCTCTGTGACCTCAAGCAAGAGTCTCTCTCTCTCTCTCTCTCTCTGCCCCTGTCCTCATTTGTAAGATGGGGATACAGGGATGTACAGAGGATAACTCCATAAATATTTAGGAGATGGTCAGATACTATGATGATGGTGACCAGATGGTACTCAAATAGGTAGTTTAGTTAAGAAGTGAATTAAAGTTAAGAAGTGCTTTTTCTTTTGCTTGACTGTTTTTAAGGTGTGCCACCCTGTGCTGTGATCCCATTAGATTTTACAAGCTAATCAAGATTTAGCTATGTCTGTTTGGATGGAAGAGGCAGGAAAGGTGAGGTACTGTTGGTAGCAGTGCTGGTGAGACACTAGTATATTTTTTTCTCCTAATTGCATACTGAATTAATATCCCAGCAAAATCCTATGTAACATTGTCCTGCTAGAGATGCTCTCTCAAATGAAGTGCAAAAGTAGAGGGTCTGAGATTTGTTTTGATAAAATAATTCCATGGTACTTTTTGTAAAAGTAGAGATGTTAATCCTAAACTCCTGGTCAAATTCCAAATTAGGTAATTACATTCTGCCTATATGAACTCCTCCTGCAGTTTCAATTGTACAGAATATTATTCAGTCCCTGTTGTAAACTGCTCTGTACTCTTGCTGGGCACGGTCAAACAGTTGCTGTGTTTCACCCTAGTGTTGACTCTATTGATCTCACCTCACAGAGGTGCGGTGTGGCTTAATTAACAAATGCATAGCTTTTTGTTATTTCAGCAATGCTTTTCATCCAAAGATCTCAAAGTAGTAAAATTATACTATTTTAAAGACTTTTTACCCCTACATTTTCAAAGCAGCTCTTTAGATTTCAGTAATTAAAATCTATGAGAACCATGTTGCCAAAAACCTGCATGCTGCTTTAAAAATGTATCCTTTAAACTTATTCTAGCTACTCTACTGCTCAGGGGGAACCAAACTAATCTAATCAGAACCCCTACAGCTCTTCTTTTTCTCTAAGCGAATATGCAATATTTTATATTAATCTTATGCTCTTGTCTTTTCTACTGAAGCTTACACTGCATTTTATTAAGCCTAAATCTTGCTACCTGATAATACTGTATGGGAACGTTGATTACATTAAGGGATTTGGGGAGCGGCTGCCCTCTACTGGAAAGTAACAAGCAAAAGGATTTTAATGATCCATATAATTTGTGGTCCACCTAGGGTGACCAGACAGCAAGTGTGAAAAATCGGGGTGGGGATGGGGGGTAATAGGAACCTATATAAGAAAAACACCCAAAAATCGGGACTGTCCCTATAAAATCGGGACATCTGGTCACCCTAGGTCCACCCCATCTATACTAGGAAAGTGTTGCTTCTAATTACACCTCTTCTGAATTTAGAGTGTAGTTATTCAGTATCTGAGATATGGACAATAATATTCCTATACAAAACATGTTTATTACTGTATTCCATATCCTAACTTATGATGAGAAATAAATCCATCTGTAACCTAACATTAGAACTAAACACTGATTCATAACACTTACTGCTGCAGTTCTTACTATTGTGCTGTACAATATGTCTGGGATATAAATGGTGGTTTTTTATCTTATTATACTATTTTTGGCATACACTCAACCAGTTAATAGAGCAATGTCTTGTCAGACACAGTACATATCACTGATCAGCATAATCTTTGCAGTGGCTGTTAGGCCAATTAGGCTTTGGCATAAGAGCAAAAGGTGTCAGTCCTATTTACACACTATAAATAGCAACCTGCAATCTTCCACTTAACTGTAAATGCGCTCTGCAGGATCTTGAAGAATAGCATTTTGCTAGGATATCACACAAATGGGTAAGTAGAAGACCAACAATATTAAATAAAAGAGATACTGCAAGTCTGCACTTGAGTCACAACAATCGTCTTCCAGATGAGGATTTTAAAGTGACACCAGACTGTGATTTTCCCCCTCCTTGGCTGCCAGTGCCAAAGATGTACTCCACATGGAGCCTAAATGTGGGAAGCAAAGTTGGAAAACCTGTTAATAAATATGTATGGAAAAAGAATCCAGGCACATCCAGATTTCAACTAATACGGTTACCATATCTCATCACAGTATTTTAATAGCAATTTGGGCCAGAGGCAGCCTGCCTCTCTCTCTCTCTCTCTCACACCTTCTGCCCCAGATTTTCCTGCTGACATTATTGTCAGAGACAACTCAGTGCAAGCATAATAAGAGTGATAGAGTTACTACAAATAATTAAGGGACTTGGTGAATGCTGTGCCATGATAACTGCACTCCGTTTAGGAAAGCCTGCTTCCCTCTGCACCGTAGCATGTTCCTAACAGCCAAAAGAAAAAGTAAACAGGAAACTTCCTGGAAATTCCTGGCCACTGAAATTCCATTCTTAAGAACGAACTGAGGGAGGTTATTTTAGATACCCTGATCGTTCATATTAAGGCATTTATTTTGCGTGCACTGAACTATAAATGCATCAGCAAAATATTATACAAAACAAGAGGATGATGTGCTTTACTGCAAATTTTGCAACAGAAAAGGTCCCATGTTTAGGCGCTTAATGAAGTCAGGAAAGATATTTTAGAAAGACCTTAGTTACCGGCTGTTTTTTGTTTTTGGGTGGTTTTCATGCGTTAAACTCAAAGTGCGTTAATAAACTATAAATAAAAGGAATGAACGATGTACATCTTGCTGCAACCTTTACAAGAGAAAATGATCTTTGGGTGGGTATTTTAGAGAAATACATTTTTTGTTGTTGCATGCACTAAAATGCATGGGTAAACTACCTTGCTGCAACCTTTGTAATAGGGAGGACTCAAATTCAAGCGCAGAATGAGAACAGGCATGTTTATTTTGGGAGAGATCTTTACATATTTCTTTGTTTGCCCATGCGGTGTGCATTCGCGAAATGCAAATAAAGCAGGAGGACGCTGTACCCCTTCGCTGCCTCTACACCTAAAAGGGAGCCCGTCCCGAATTCAATCGCGTGCTGGGCAAGGCTAGCCTGCGCGAGGCGGACAATAGCCCAACAGCATCCCCTCGCGCCGCCGCTCCGCGTGCTATTTGTAAACCCCGCAGCCCACGCCCAGCCCCGGCGGGGTCACAGCACAGCCGCCGAGGGGGCGCGCAGGCGCAGAGTGCGCTTGGGTGTCCAACATGGCTGAGGTGCTGCTGTTGCTGCTTCTCTTGCTGGAGCAGAGGGCAGGATGCTGAGTTCCCCAGCAGCCAGCAGCAGCCTCAGTAGTGGCAGGGGCGGTGGGGGCTGAGGCAGGCTCTTCTCAGCCATGGCTAGGTTGGCTGACTATTTCATTGTGGTGGGCTATGACCATGAGAAGACAGGTAGGTGTGGCTGTTTGTAATGCTGCTGTGTGGTGTCTGGCCGCCCTCCCCCAGCCCCGTGGTGTCACGCAGGCCCCCACAAGGAGGAGGTGGAGGCTGTGTGGCCGTTGTGTGCCAGAGGCTGCTGCGGGGAGCGGGGAGCCCTTCTCCTCAGGACTGGAGGGGTTGGCAGGGGGGATGGGGTAACTGCCTCTCCCCAGGTTGAGCAGGTTGGTGGGGGAGTCAGGGGGTTGCTTTCACGAAGGGGACTAGTTTAGCAGGGGGTTAATTTCCTCCCCAGGACGGTGGATAGGTTGGAAGGGGATTCCCTTCCTGCGATGAAGGCGGGCAGGTTTGCTTCAGGACCTTCCCAGAGCACGGGCATGTGTGGAGTGGCTTTCAAAATCTGCCAATGAAAATAGAAACACGCTAGTAAAGCCCCCCTTGTCCCTCCCAGCACTAAAGCTCCTGTCACATCCTGAGCGAGTTATGAATGATGCAGGGGGCGGGGGTTGGGGTGGTCATTTTCAGCAGAAGAGGTGACATTCTGATCCTGCCACTTATTGGTAATTTCACTTGGATGCAGGCTGTTGTGCTTTCCAGGAGCCATTTTGATCATTTGAAGGAGTGCAATTGTGAAAAAAGAATGAGAGATTTTAAATGCCTCATAATTTACATCATAAAAATTATTCATTGTAAGAGCCTTTAAAGGTTAGCTTAACAAGAATCCCCAGGTGGGGACTCTTGTTTGTTATTTTGTGAGGTGTTTTCTCTATAAGGAATAATATTTTTTGTTATTCCTTTCTCCTACCTCTTTGTGTATGTAGTTTTTCAAAATATTTTGTTTAGCAGAATAGTAAATTTAATGCTAAAAGAAAGATTAAGTAGGCTCTTCCTGGAAACCAGTTGGGGTTATTGTCCTTTTGTTTGGAGACAATTGTTAATCACCGCCTCACTGAGATGCCATTGATGATTTAATATAGGTAGCAATATGGCATTTTGTAGGTTCTGTAAGGTTGCCTGTGTTATGGAATTGATACAGCAAAAATGTTTTTGCTCCTCTGCTCAGATGAGAGGGGGAGACATTATTTATGTTCGGTGTGCAACCTTAGAGACAAAGAAAAATTGAAATATTTGTTTTTCTTTAATATTTGTTAATGATGACATGACATCACTTGATTATGGATATTGCTGAAGAAACTTTCAACCCTCATACTGCTGTATTTTAATTTTCAGTTGAGTTGTTGACTGGTACAAATACACACAGACTTGCTTTTCATTGGATATTTTAGGGTGAGCGTTTAATCAGCTATTGTCATTAAGCAGGATTTTAAATAATTAAATGCTTTTTATAAATGCCTGAGGCTACATGTAACAAACCATATTTAAATCTTGTACTTGAATCTATATTCATGGACTCTCTGAAGGTAATGGTTACTCCATAGCTTCCTTTATGTATTGTCAAAATATACATAATAAAGGGTTAGTTTGCCATCTTTCTTTTTCTTTAACAGAAAAATAAAATCTATTAAATCTAAGTATTGTATTTAGAAGGTTTGCATGGCTTGGATAAAAATCTGTCCATAAAAGATTTGGTGTCCCTTCTAGAATTCACACATCATTTTGTCTTATGTATTGCAACATGTACAGGTCTGTCGCATCTTACGCGCATTTAACATGCACAATTTCAACTTTACGCGGTCGGCAAAAACAAAAAAAACAACAAAAAAAGAGGAAAAATAACAATTTTAATACTATACCTTCAGTGTGGACGATTTTGCCCGCCATTGAACTCAGTGTAATTTTGGCTATACGCGGTTTTCGCTTTACGCTCTAACCGCGGAACGGAACCCCCGCATAAGATGAGACAGACCTGCATTGTCTTTTCTAATTCCAATGGTGAAATTATAGGACTTGTGAAGCACTGTGAAGTGGAAGTAGAGTGTAAGAAGCCAAGGGCCATTAAGGGGAAGATACAAATATGTAATTGCTTTTTTAAGAGCGTGCAGTCAGCTTTGACATCTTCACTATATGAAGTAAATTGACAGATCAGAATTGGACAAATGTCTGTATTTGAAAGACCCTGATCCTGCAAACACTTAAGCACATGCATAACTTCATGCACATCTCATTGACTTCTGGACTACTCCCTTGTGTAAAGTTACACACATGCATAAAAGCTTCCAGGACAGGGACCCTAATTTGAAGAGTCCGTGTCCTGAAATAGTTAGTTTAGACCTGACAGAGAAATCAGAAGTTATTATTGAATGGGTTTTTCTGCTGTTTTAACACCTACTGTTCAAAATCTTTGAGAGAAAACAACATTCTCTGGAAGACTAGGCACGCACTGTATTCCAAATTCCTTCACCCCCACGTGCAATTCCATAATATGCAGAGTACTGACCTTTATTTCTTTTGTGACATTCCAAAGTTCTTTTGGTGTATTTATTCCATTTCCTTCTATATTAAATAGATGGGCCCAAAAATATTTCTGTAAGATAAACTTATAATTATTCTTGATGGTTTTAAATAAATCTTTGTGTATAGACATTTTCTCTTCACTTTCTCTTTTTAAAAGACACTTGTTTTGGTATATTAGAATGTTTTAACTTTTAACTGAAGTGAAAAATGTTTGTATTTAAGTTTAAATGCAAAAAACCTGTTACACCAACTTTTCTAAAAGATTTCAAATAGACTCAGTATAAAATTTTAAAATCTAGAAATATATATCATGTAGTTTAAGAAACTATTTCTAGAGTTCCTATTGGTAGAAAATACTCTCAACATCAGTCTTACAACTCCTGATCCAACAGGTGTTTTTTAATTGCATCTGAAAAAGGGAGAAAGATACCGTTTATTATAGTCTTATTTTTTACGTGGCCCTCATCAGTTTAGTGTCCGAGTGCCTCATAGACACTAACAAATTTATCCTCACTGAACTCTGATGAGGTGGGGAAGGATTATCCCTAATCTACAGATGAAGAACTCAGGCAAGGAGAGATGAATGGATTTACTCACAGTTGAGAATTCAACCCAGATTTCTTCAGTCACAGTGCGGTGTCCTAATGACAAGACCATCTTTCTTATTACAAAGGCAAATCTATTTCACCTGGCACTTTATCCATAGCAAACATGTGCTGACAATTTCCCCACATAGTTGATTATTTATACTTGGATGTTTCAAAATTGTAACATTTAGCAATTTACTGGTGCATTGGTTCGAACTTCCTAATTGAGTTTCATTGTAATCCCAAAATAAGAAGGAATGTAGAGTTTAAAATTAGTGCAGCCTCTATAATGTTTTCTTCACTTTTTAAAAATATTTAAACTTATTATGAAGTAATTTTTATGATGGTGAAAAGGTGCTGTATTGACAATCCTGTTGATTTAATCCTATGTTTATTCATGAAATAGGTGTACAGCTGTGGCATTATAAGCTTCCCTATGCCACTCTGTTAGTGTGCAGCTTTGTCTTGGAGCTACCATCAGTGTGTCAGTCACACACAATTGGTGGATTAAGCAAACTCCTTTGATTAGATTTTTCAGTCTTTGTTAGTTTGAAGTATGGCAGACATTCACTGACACAAATTGGCAGGTTGTATCTAATCCTGCATCAGTTTTACAAATACATTGCAAGTATTGAAGTATTTGGGTCCTGATCCTGCATTTGACTGTCTGTAGGTGCACTGTTACACAGATTTCTGCTGAAGTCAATGGGACAGTGTACCTGTGCATGATCATATGGAATTGGGGTGGTGGCTTTTATTGGGAGAGGGTGTCTGTACAACTGCGTATTACCCTGTTGTTTATGGTTTGTGATATTGAGCTATAAAATCTAGTAACCTTAAAAACTAACAGAATTATTTGTTGTAGGCATTGCAATCTCATGCAACTTTTCTGATAATAAGTATGTGACTTTTTTTGTGCGCACATTTACTAACTGTTGAATGTTTCAAGAAGGAAAATTATTCTTGTGGACTTGCCCCATGATGCATATAACAGTCAATATACATACATGTGAGCGATGCATGCACAGTTGAATCACAGTTCTGCAATTGTATTCACACACATAGACCCTTGCACCATGATCAAGCCCTACTTATCTTGGATGTACTCTGTGTGGATATAAGAGCCCACATATGCAGATTGGAGTCTTAATTGCAATGGAATTGAGCTTGTGCTCTCAACACTTCTTTTGAAGTCACTAATAATTTTGGGTGTGAAGGGATGCAGCAGCCCTTGTCGGAAGTGAAATAAGCAAGCATTTAATTTGACAAAAATGAAGGAGTCGGATTTAATACATGTAGCTCTATAATTGTTAGTTACTGCTTTCACTTTTATTCTGAACTAACAATTATAGAGCTACACATGTTAACTCTGAGTCCTTCACTTTTGTCACATTAAATACTTGCTTACTTCAGTTTCCACTGCTATATCCCTTACACACCCAGAATTATCAGTGACTTCAAAAGAAGTTTTAGGTGCACAAGGAATGCAAGCTCAGGTCCATTGTAACTAGGACTTCCATCTATGTATATGGGCTCTTCCTGGGATGGAGAAAATTTTTGTTATCCAGCCCGTTAGTATAATGGAGAGTTGCTGCAGAAATGGCCCAAAGGGCACATATTGAGATTTCTTTGCAAAGAATGTAGCAGTTTGAAAATGTAGGCTCCATGAATCAAAAAACACCACTTCATGTGCATTCTATGACTTTTTTTTTTCCATGGGTTTTGAAGTGTGTTTGATGTGCTTTACAACAAGAATTCCCATATAATGTGTTTGCATAATGGAATGTTGATGGGATTTAGGGAAGTGCACAGATGTTTGCAAAGATCACACAAGGGCATGAGAAAACATGCTACTTTTTGTTTTTTTGTTTTTTTGCTGGTATAAGCCCTAATCACGAATTCATCGTTGGAATTTACATATGGCCTTATTCAAAAAGGTATGTGAGAGAGACAATATTGTATTGCTTTCCCAAAACAGAAACAAAATGGTAGTGGCAAAGAAAGAAACTAAAT